GGCCCGAAACGTCAGCCTCTCTGCTCCTATGATGCTGCTTGGCCTGCTGTGTTCATCCAGCCCTGCACCTTGTTGTCTCGGATTCTCCAGCATCTGCAGTTCCTACTATCTCTGATTCAATCTATAATGCTGAACCTGTGCTTAAACCTATTGGCGAAAGTAGTAGATATTTCCTAATCGCAACGTTCGGAGTTGCCATGGTAAGTTCCCGTAGTAGGTGGGACCTGAACCTGGCTCAGAGATCGGGAGACTACCACGGTGCAACAAAAGCCCTGTGTGTCCAGTTTCATACTTTACCCAATGGGCTTGGGATTGGATGTTTCAAACATCCGGATGTTTGTTCAAGGGCTTCCCGAAGCTGACAAGAGAGAGAAGGGAAGAGGCCGTGAGAGTTTAGGGAGGGCATTCCATAACTATGGGGCCTAGCGAAGTAGTGACACAGCTACTGATTGACGAGCAAAGAGAACCGTGGATGCACAGGCCAGAGCTGGAGAAGAGTAGAGATTGCGTGAGGGCTTTAGGAGCAGGTGGATGTTCCAGAGATAGAGCAGGGTGAGACCATGAGGCATTTGGAAATGAGGGTAAGCACTTCATAGTGGAGGCATTGCTCGACAGGAGTGAGTGGGCTTGATGTGAAAAGGAATGTGGGGATCACAGGTTCATTTGATAATCCACTTGCGAAGTGCACTGGGATGGTTTACTTCATCAAAAGTGATATATAAATGAAAACCGTTGATTTTTTTTTTGTTTGCCTGTTATGTTTTCACCACTGAAGCTGACTGCATCACTTCCTCCCCAGCCACTGGAGCGGACATGGAGTGGTATTTTCCGCTTGTGAGAAGTGGGAGTAGGTACAGTCTGCACTTGGGCCTACTTCACTGTTCGATGAGGTCCTGCCTGATGTATATCTCACCTACATTTAGCTGCCTTTGATAAATCCCTCTGAGACCCTCACCCCAATGATAGACGATTGATCTGGGCCTACGTGTCCCAGTAGACACATCCTTCGGTGAGGGAGTATTCCAGATTTTGCCAATCTGTCGTGTGATCGAGTGTTCCCTCCTGACTAGCCTAGCTCTAATCTTCAGGTGAATGTTCCTTGTGGTTTTTGTTTTACTGATGGTGCTCCTTTTTGTTCCTGTTTGACGTTCGGTGCAGGGATGCGGCCTTTACACTACGCAGCGTGGCAGGGAAAACTGGAGCCCGTGCGATTGCTCCTTCGAGCTGGTGCGGTGGTAAATGTAGCCTCGCAGGATGGTCAGATCCCATTGCACCTTGCAGCACAGTACGGACATTACGATGTGGTAAGTCAGAGGTCTTCCCCTCCCCCCCCAGTATTATCATCGATCTCCTATTTCTGCTCAGGAGGATCATCTCTGTGCCAGTACTGGAGGGCGACCATGGCGACCATCCCCATTGTGGATGGGACATCATGTATTTTGAACCTGTTCCTTCACAGTGACCCTTTGACGGTGGGTTGTAGATATTTATTCAAGTTGTTCAGACACACCTCTGGGAGTAGATGAGTCTTGAACCCAGGCTTCCTGGGTCAGAAGTAGAGACATTACCACAGTGCCCCAAGAGTCCCTGAGGGTTAGTTGTATGAGCTGTGCAGAGTGTTTGATGGATGCAACGTGTTGGTCTTGAACCAATGGTTTTCGAAGCTGTTTGACAGCCAATTGGGCCAGTGGGTTTTTACATGACTAACGCCCATCTTTCTTTCTAGCTCCCGTATCTCCCCTTCCTCACCATGCTGATCCACACTGGGTTATGGTTCCACTGGCTGATCTGTGTGGCACCTTGTCAAAGGCCTTCTGGAAATCCAAATAGATCATGCCTACTGGCTTTCCTTTGTTGAACTTGCTCGTTACCTCCTTAAAGAATTCTAACAGATTTGTCAGGCATGACCTCCCCTTGATGAAGCTATTTTACCATACACTTCCAAGTACTCCGCAATCTCATCCTTAGTAATGGACTCTAAAATCTTACCAATGACTGAGGGCAGGCTAACTGGCCTATAGTTTCTTGCCTTCTGCCTCCCTGTCTTCTTAAACAGGGGTGTTACATTAGCTATTTTCCAGGCTCAGGGACACTTCCTGATCGAGTTTCATAGAGTCATAGATTCCTACAGCACGGAGATAGGCCCTTCGGCCCAAACTGGTCCGTGTCGACCAAAATGTCCATCCACACTAACCCCATTTCCCTGCACCTGGCCCATATCCTTCTAAACCTTTCCTATCTATGAATTTGTCCAAATGCCTTTTAAATGTTGTTGATGTACCGCCTCAACCACTTCCGCAGGCAGCTGATTCTTTATGCGTACCACCCTCTGTGTAAAAAAAAAAAAATTGCCCCTCAGTTTCCCATGTATTCTTTCCCCTCTTACGTTAATTTGATGCCCTCTAGTCCTTGATTCCCCAACCCTGGGAAAAAGACTGAGTGCATTCACCCTATCCATGCCTCTCATGATCTTGTACACTTCTATAAGATCCCCCCCCTCAGTCTCCTACGCTCTAAAGATAAAAGTCCTAACTTGTCCACCCTCTCCCTACAACTCAGTCCCTTGAGTCCTGGCAACATTCTTGTAAATTTCTTTTGCACTCCTTCCAGTTTGATAACATCCTTCCTCTTGCAAGGTGACCAAAACTGAACACAATACTCCAAGTGTGGCTGAAAGTGATTCCTGAAACATCACTAACAGTGTCTCCACAAACTCCTCAGCTATCTCCTTCAGAACTCTGGGGTATACTCCATCTGCACCCAGTGATTTATCTACCTTCAGACTTATCAGCTTCTCCAGCACCTTCTCCTTCGCGATAGCCATACCGATCTTTCAGCCATACGTTTGCTTCTTTAATCCTGTTGATCCTGCGCCAGTTTGCACGTGGCTCAGGTAGTAATCTGGGGATTATTATCCTTTGGTTCTGCTTGTTTAATTTAGCCCTGAGTTGTTCATATTCCCTCAGCAGATCCTCTTCCTGTGTCTACCTACATTGTTGTTACCTACTTGGACCATGTCTGGATCTTTCTCCTCCCACTCTGAGTTCCTCTGAAGCTCTGATGAGATATCCTGAATCCAGGCATGAGACAGGCATATCCTTCTTGTCTTGTAGATCTTATAGAAGGGTACAAGGTCATGAGAGGCATGGATAGGGTGAATGCACTCAGTTTTTTTCCCAGGGTTGGGGAATCGAGGACTAGAGGGCATCAAATTAACGTAAGAGGGGAAAGAATATATGGGAAACTGAGGGGCAATTTTTTTTACACAGAGGGTGGTACGCATATAGAATCAGCTGCCTGCGGAAGTGGTTGAGGCGGTACATTAACAACATTTAAAAGGCATTTGGACAAATACATGGATAGGAAAGGTTTAGAAGGATATGTTATCTCTGAAATAATTTTAACCCCGCTGCGAAGCCATTTCTGAAGAAGGGTCTAGGCCCGAAACGTCAGCCTTCTTGCTCCTCTGATGCAGCTTGGCCTGCTGTGTTCATCCAGCTCTACACCTTGTTATATGAGACAGGCAACGTAGCTTTCGTGACTCTCAATCCCTACAGTGTGGAAACAGGCCATTCAGCCCAAGTCTACACTGACTGTCCAAAGACCATCCCACCCAGACCCACACCCCTTGCCCTATCCCTGTATTCGACGTGGCCAATCCACCTAACCTGCACATCCCTGATCACTGTGAGGCTATTTAGCATGGCCAATCCACCCTAACCTGCACATCTTTAGACTGTGGGAGGAAACCGGAGCACCTGGAGGAACCCATGCAGACACGGGGAGCATGTGCAATCTCCACACAGCCACCTGAAACTGGAATCGAACGCGGGTCCCTGGTGCTGTGAGGCAGCAGTGCTAATCGCTGAGCCACCGTGCTGCCCAATGCTGGCCATAGAGAACGGTGTGTATTCTCCAGACTATGCTATCCCTGATTACAACTACATTTCTCTTTTCTGCCCAGCACGGTGCTATGGTCAGTTTGCTCATCCTCCCTACAGCCCCCACTCTCATCCACACAAGGGGCAAGAATCTCAAACCTGTTAGACACGCTCAAGGGCTGAGCCTCCTTGAGCACTACCTCCTGGATCCCTCTACCTACCTCACTGGTAGTCACGCCCTCCTGTTCCTGACCACTGACCGAATTTGTTAATCTAAGGGGTGTGACTGCCTCCTAAAACCCAGCATCCAGGCAGCTCGCACCCCCCCTCCCTGAGGTATCAAAATGTCTGAAGCTCAGACTCCAGCTCATCAACTCTGAGCTTTCTCAAGCAACTAACACCATGAACCACGATGGGGTCTAGCAGCTCCTACATCTCGCAGATGCAACACATTACCTGGCCCTGCATCTCTATTCACTTAGTTCTTAATTTGTTTTAAACATTTCCTACTGGTCTTTTAGTTTGTAATCTGTAAATATTTCTCCTATATACCTTCAATCTGAAAGTAACCTATGATAGATGGTCAAATCAGCAACTATTAACAATTGATGAACTTACAATTCTCTTGCGATGTTTTTGTTTTGCGCTGGGCCCTGATTCTGAGCTTCAATTTATCCTGTTTACAAAAACTTTATAAACCACAAGCCAAACAGAAAACAAACTCTTCCCCAACTGCTCTGAGTTCCCGCAGTGATTCCAAAGTCCCAGAATACGCACTCGGGCTGTATCTCACTCTGGATATGTTCTATCCTTCCTGATCATGTGAAGCTCACTCACTTTCACTGATTAACCTCTCCTTTCCGGGGGTCACTTGATAAAAAAAAGATACCCTGAAGAGTAGTTCACCCAGGACTGACTTCATTAGTGGTACAGCTGAACCCCACAACCATCAGAGCAACTAGTCTTCACTTTTCTTTCTGTGACAATGGAAGGGAAATTGAATGTATAACTCGCACAATAGAGGTTCCAGGCCAGTTATTTCCAAGAGCTGATAATTTCTTGGGATTTTATTGATCAATTCCACAAGGCAGCTCATCCTGTGAATAGCGGTTTGTATCAGATTGGCTGCATTTGTACCAATGTTGAGAAGGAGCAGTAATACCAAGGTATCATAGATTGTACATTCCCCATTACTGACACAGTACAGGCCTTTGGTCTGGTTACAGCAGGACGGCTGTTAGTTTTATGTTGGTGGCAAGGTTGTTGGCGAGCCTGTTGCCATGTCAACAGGGGAGCAAAGGTGGAGGGCTGCCTTCCTGTCCCTGGACCAGGTGAGGCCCTGAGGATCTTCAGTCTGTCACTGCTGGTAGTGTACCCCTAAGAGGAGGGCTCTCCATGGGCTCCTGAGGGCAAGATGGAGCTCTTTCCTCGGACACCCTGTTCCTCACCGACAGGCCTACAGTCACACCGTGCTGAAAGACAGTCCGCACCTACCCTCCACAGTGACTCTCGTCCTACCCTGACTCCCAGGGACCCTCTCTGGGTCACCAAGCTGCAGTCCCAGAAGTGACCATGACTCCCAGTAGCAGTAGTGGGACTGACGAGTTGGGGGCTGTTCTGGGTGTGATCTTTGCCTTCCTCAGCACAGGACACCGATTGGGGCCAGTCACTGCCTCAATGACATTGTATCCCATCAGGGATCCCAGGAATAGGCAAAGGCAGAATTGTCATTTGCCTTTCTGACTGGTGGACAGGCCCACTACAAACGGCATTAATTCAGGGCACTGTCTCTTTAAATGTCAAGCCCTCTGTCCTGTTCCAGCCCCGGGCTGATTGCGGGGAGAGATTTGAGGGGTGTTGAGAGTTGTTGAGGAATTGTAAAGGTTGTTTCTTAAAGAGCACATTATTATCAGAATCTCTAAGACGCATTAGCAAGCCAAGACTTGTTTGTTTTGAAAAAAAATGTGTTTAAAAGGTAATTGTCGGCTTTCATCTGAAACATGAAAATAAGCCTTTCCTTAGCCCGGGGTGAAGGATGGAAGACTGATGTGGATTACACAACAGGAGAGGGTGCAGCATCAGGCACTGGGCTGGGACAGGGTTAGGAACAGGGTCTGAGCTGGGGCAGCATGGCAGAGGAGGGAAACAAGGAGGAAATATACAGGGAATGGCAGATTCACATCAGCAACAGTGACACTGCCAGTGTACAGACTGTGGGACAGGGAACACAGTTGGTGAACGGACTGCGGGACGGGGAACACAGTTGGCGTGCGGGCTGCGGGATGGGGAACACAGTCTGTGTGCGGGCTGCGGGACGGGGAACACAGTCTGCGTGCGGGCTGCGGGACGGGGAACACAGTCTGCGTGCGGGCTGCGGGACGGGGAACACAGTCTGCGTGCGGGCTGCGGGACGGGGAACACAG